TGTGAGGAACATTTGAAGGAGCTGGGGTTGTTTAGCCTGGAGGAGAGGAGGCTTAGAGGAAATCTTATTGCTCTCTACAACTTCCTGAAGGGAGGTTGTAGACAGGTGGGGATTGGTCTCTTCCACCAGGCAGCAACTGGCAGAACAAGGGGACACAGTCTCAAGATAAGGGAAGGTATAGGTTGGATATTAGGAAAAAAAATTTCACCAAAAGAATAATAAAATACTGGAATTATCTTCCTAGGGAGGTGGTGGAATCACCATCTCTGGATATGTTTAAAAAAAGACTGGACTTGGCACTTGCTGCTATAGTCTAGTTGTGGTGTTATTACATAGATTGGACTTGATCTTAGAATTCTCTTCCAACCTCATTATTCTGTGATTCTGTGATTCTGTAATTTCTTTATATTACTTAAAAAAATGAAGAAAAAGAAAATTAGTGTTGAAAAAAAATTGTATTTCTGTTTGTTTCTAAGTTCCAGGGCTCCTTGTTTTGCCAGCAGCTCATAATACTAGATGTATTTATATTTTTAGTATAAGATAGAAACTTTTCACATAGGAGAAAGTTTTTAATAGGCACCTTTCTTTATCCTTAAAGACTTAAATGAAAAATATATGGATAGAAGAAACCATAATCCCTCAGGTAATACAGGCTTTATAGTAACAAGCATCAAACTTCTCTGTATGTGAAATCAAACAGGAAAAAAATCTTGCTTTCAGTTTGCAGATAAGAAATAAGAGAGATGGCATCAATCTTGGTCTGGTAATTGTTTACACAGAAATATTTTACCTCTGAAACCTAGCTATGAACAGAAATTTAATCAAAGAATAAATTGTTTTAAACTCCTAGATTAAGGTGGAAAGTTTAAAGTACACTGATGGAAGTTGAAATTTTTTACACCAGCCTTAGATGTCACTCTACAAAAGCATAAATGTGGAGGATCTGGGACATGGAATAATTGCCCGTTTTATTAATGAAGCACGTTTTAACACAGCAAAATAGAAGGGGATAAAAAAGTGCAGAAGGATCATGAGGTCTCAGGGAATCATAATGGAAAGCTTAATAAAAGATTCACCATGTCTTTGACTACCATGTGGAATCATCATCATCCAAACAGTAAAATCCTGCTTTATCCAGGCTTTTCTGGAAAAACTCTTGCAATAGTCATGATGTATAAAGGAACACCATATTGTTTTTTTTTTAAATTAAAAATTCACCATGGATAAATTACAAAATCAGGAAATGTTTCAGTTCTTTCACTAAAAAACAAAAAAACAGTAACTAAAGGTATTTATAGGAAGCTGGCTAAGCTGTTAATTCCCCTGATTAAAGCTGTGAACACTTAATTCCTGAATAACAAGATATTACTGTCTCTCATGCAGTATTAAATATGCTCCATAAAGGAGAAATTCAGATTTGGAAAATGTTGAGAATGCTCAGACTTTTCGAGGACTCCACCATAATTTCCTAGGTTACATGTTAAAAGTATACTTCACAGGGAAAACCTTCAAAGACATTAATTTTCAGCAGCAGAGGAAATAAAAGCATTTCACTTCATAATACCCCAGCCAAACATATGTATCTTATTTCTGCACCAAATGGGGTAATTAAAATTCTATTAGCAACACTTTCCTCCAAAATGTATTTTTAAAACATTTCTAGTTCCAAGATACAGATTTCTATCAGGCTGAAGTGTTAGTCCATTGAAGAAGAAATATGTTTATTATATACATGAAAGTGTAATTTATATATCAATGGACTTAAGAACCAGAATCTCAATATATTAGTCTGATACTTTTAATCCAATCTAGATCATTGACTTACCACGTTCTTGACATGCAGTTGTTCAAAAAATCCCAAAAAACGTTTTAAACAAGGATATAAAAAGTGGAACAAGTACTAAACCAAACAAAGTAACAACAAAACTCGACAAAACTCTTCATGAAGATATACAGTTGTCTTTTTTTTAAACTTCACCAATAAAATATCCATTGTTAATACTCTTTCCATTTAAACAGATATTTGTGTTTCAAACTCATTCTTCTATACTGGCCTTCAAGCAACTACCTTCTGAAAATATGTTTTCAGATGCAGTCTGAAAGCAATGTAATTCAGCAATTATTGGGTTCCAATGATTGCTGAATTACAGCAACCATTGTTCATTTAGTTCTTAAAACTAAATAAAAACTGCCCCCTTAAAAGAACCAAATAGATTTAAGCTATTTCTTCTCCCTTGTAAAAAACATTCAAACAGAATTAGGCCTTCAAAAAACAGAATGTAGGGATAAAATGTGTTTATAATAAATGAAAGTATTAATTTTGCCTTTTCCCCAACTGTTTTGTTAATAATTGGAAATTTTTCATTTATATGTGGAACTGGGTATGTGAAGAAAACATTAAAATAACCAGTATACTAACCACATGGTGCGCTAGTAGCCTTTTATTGTGCAATGGGCAGAAAAATTAATAATAAAGTAAAAGAAAGACCTAATTTTTAGTTCCAATTAACTGAAATTGGAACTAAAACTAATTGGTATTGTTCTCTGCTCTTACTCTAACTCTACTCTCAAGAAATGCGGGCTTACTATAAAAAATACATTGAAACCACAGTGTAAATAGCTAAAAAAAAAAAATCAAATGGCTTATTTTTTATACATATTTTTTCTTTTTCAAACAGAAAAATAAAAATCTTTTACACCTGAGAAAAATAACTCTTTAACCTACCTTGACTGCATATCTTGATGTATTTTGGACTGGCTGATTTCAGCTGGAGTCGAAGTGACTTGCTGTTGTAGCTCCACCAAAGACTGGTAGTACTGTTGCTGATGATGTTGCTGCTGTTTGTACCGAGACAAACTGAAAAACAGCCCTAAAATGGCTTTCAAATTTCCATTCCTTATTTCTGTTAAAAAAACAATAAAGAGAAAAGGAAGTGAAAACACTTTGTTTTTAGACTTCAGTTTTGTAAAAGTCATATTAAAATATGCCTGTACATACCTATAGCTATACATGTTTATGTCATATCTCTTAATTTCCCTATAATATCAGAGACATTTTAGGAGTCACTGATAGTATATTTTTTAAAAATTATTTAAAAAAATATACTATCTTACATGTCAGTGTAGCAATAAAAACCTATCTCTACAATGCCTTCATGATGAGTCATTTGCATGGTCATAAACAAGAGTATATCCAACCTTAAATAAAGCACATAATCTGAAATGAATACTCCTGTGCCAACAAAGTACAAATATTCTCATTAAGGAAAAGATCTTTCAGAAAAATCTGAAATCTTTCTTGTATTAAATATACATTCTGTCAAACCTCATGACTTTAAATTGCTCTTTCTGCTTTTGGAGCAAATTCTGTGCACATAGGTAATAAATCAAGACTTCTGAAAAAATCAAAAAGACTGTATGGTAATGGTTCTTGTCAGTGAGAACATACCCATTCATATAGATGTTTGCAGGAAACATGAGAGAAGAAAATAAATGGAAGGTTAAAAAAGGTGACTGTAATGCTCATGATTACACCTTTGAACCTTCAAATGACATGATTCTACAGCTTTCTATTTTATACTGCTCTTACTGATAATTAAGACAAAAACTACAGCTTTGACAAGGCCAAGCAGCTACCTGAATACAATTCTGGTGAATCTTGATAGCATCCCTATGACTCCCAATTCTTTTTTAGCTTTTGACTAGCCTGAGATGAAGATTTTACAGGGATGTTGTTATTCTTTGCTGATAAAAGATCTCAGTGTCAAAAATGAAACCTCAGAAGATTTTAATGAAATTATCTGCAGCATGTAGCTATGTTCATAACCTCATTAATTTTCTTTGGCACTGACCACCTTGTGAAAGGTTTTTATTAGACCTTTAACTTGCAACCTGACATGTAGTGCCCCAACCTTTCTGCCTTCCCTGCAAATCAAAACACTGAGTTGTGTGTGCTGCAAAGCTTTCCAAGGCAGATTTTCAAGTTGAGTTTATACAAAATTACTATCATTTTCATGTCTCTTAAACAATATTAATTTTCTTTCAATAGGATTAATACATATACTAAGGCAGCAAAAACTGGAGCTTTTATGTTCACAACCTGTTCTTCAAAAGCAAACCTAATCCTAGACACTGGACTATACTTCTAAAAATGTAAATTTGTTCTAAGCAGCCATATTTAATTCATCTTCCCTGTGAAGATGCTGTAGGATCTTTGATTAGCAATGAGACCACGAGAGACATGTAGAACTCTCCCAGAACACGTAAACTTTTTAGGCAATATGACTTTTGCAGTCATGTTGGTTTCAAGGAAGATCATTGCCAAGAAATACAGAAAATTTATATTTAAAATTATCCTAAAAACACCCCCAAACCCCCATATAGCTATCCATTTTAAGTGGCTCTGATTTGAGAAGACTGTCAGTACATGACACCAGTTCATTTATTCTTATCATTTTGCATCCATTAATGCTCAGAAGAAGAATCCTTTGTCAAATCTCACTCAACATTTTTCAGTTTTAAAATTTTGCTCTTTTTGTGCTAATATATTTTTACTATTTTTAGGGAATGATATTATCAGTAACTTTTTCTTTCTTACTTTTAATAAAGTTAGAAGATTTCTCACAAGCAAAAAATCAAGAAACTTCTAATGTGTACTAAACATATACTTGGAGAATGAGAGGATTATTTTTCTTTGTAGCAACTGAATAATTATTTATCAACTAGGCTCTCAAGCAGAGAGTTGGCAGTCAAGATTTGAAAATTACTTTTTTTCTAGACCTCTTTGTTCAATTGTCAAAATGAGGTCATAAACTGGTTGTGAAATCTGCAAAACTTCTTAAGCTGATGGTTTATTTTTCCACAACCTCTCAGGTCAATAATAAATGACCCAGTAGTAACAAGACACATTTACCAAAGCTTATTACAAGAAACTCAATTTTTTCTCCCCCTAAAGAACTGTAATATTCAGGATTATACACAGTAAAAATGTTATATTTAAGGAAATTACACCTCTGCAGTATTTTGAAGAATATCACTATGAAGATAGTAGTGGATTTACTCCAGATTCATGACCAAATGTGTAACAGCAGAATTAATTTTAATCTTACTTCAGCACAAAATGTTAAAATTTGATTTTGAAGAATAAAGAGCATTTTAAATCATAGTCTTTGCATTTAGTCCTATGTAGTAGTATTGCTTTTAGTAGTATATGAATTTAATATATTAAGTTAAATATATTAAAATTATTTCCCAAAGCAAAACAAAAGTAGAAATAAAGGCATTTCAGAATGCAGACAGATTCTTGTTTTATAAAGTATAGAAAATATACCATGCACTATGTCAAGGTACTAAAGAATGATGAGTATCCTCATAAAATAAATCCATGCTACTCACACATTTAATTAATACTTTATATGAAAGCATGAAAGTAAAAATAGGCTGCTCTAGAAATTCTGGTTCTGAATAGCTTTGAGGTGAATGAGTGCATGCAAACTTTCAGTATTCTCTTGCAACAAGATATCTACAAGTACACACAAAGGTTCTTTTAAACTGCTAGGGGAGCTTTTCACAGTTTGACAATCAAGGTGAATAGATAGTAAATATAATGTATGTGTTGCATGTTTAAAATCCTAGATAGGCTCAGATGGTAAAAGATAGTAATTCTGAATTAATTTAAAAATCAAATAGTGGTTAGCTTTCCAAATTTTTTCTCCATGAATCTTCTAGAATTCAACTGAAATTATCACCTCTGGGAAAAAAAAACCCTTCCAGCTTTTGGTTGTGCTACAAGCAAAATAAAAATAGAGGGTTGCATCTCTGGACCTGTTACCTTCAGGTGCCATAGAGATCAAAGGTGAGCAGCACCTTGCTGAACTGCTACAGGACAAAGACATATACATTTCATTAAATAACTTGCCTCTTACATGAACAAGGCAATATTACATAATAATTAAGACAACTGGTATTTTTAATGTTTTTTATTTATTAATTTAGTTGCAACTACATTAGGCAATCATTTAAGGTGACTAATACAGCAAAATAACTGAAGCAGCAAAACCATTCCCTCTTTAACTTAATAGGAGACATCAAAGGAATACTATAATTTTCAGACTCATCTGGACAGCATTACTACTAATAATAAATTTGCTGAAACAAATAGTCTTCCCTGGGTTTATTTCACTGGGCAAGATTCTTATGTTCTTGTTTGCTCTTTTGAATCAAATATATGAACAAGTTTTAAAAAAAAGTATGCTCGGGAAGTTCTGTGCCTATCCAATATTGTGGAGGTAACATGAAAAGATTAATACCATTGAAAAAATATTGTTTTAAAACATTGTCTCAAACTTCATAAACATTGCATTTCTTGGTTCAATTTCAAGGGAAAATTAAAAGAAATTCTCTCACTTGTTATCACTAATGTATATTTGCATGCTGTTCAAGACAGCTGGAGCTTGGTATTTAGGAGCAAGTGATTTGTGTTAAGAAATTCAGCTTTCAGGAGAAAATCTTGTTATTTTTTTCTGATTATTTGTTTCTCTTACCTTCTGCAGAAAGACCTTGGACATTTACGCCTCTGGCTGCCAGAAAGCTAAGGCAGACATCAACATTCTCAATCTGCAACATGAATAGAAATAACAAACAGGATAAGACTATTTTACAAAACACAGAAGTCTTGGGAGAGGGGAAAAAAATCAACCAAAAAAAAAAAAAAATCCCAAAAAAAACTACTCAGGAATGAATACTTTACATTCATTGCATACTACAGCTTTTTATCAAAGTTTAGCAAGAATGATTACTGCTAATTGGGCAATCAAGATAAAGCTTTCATTGTCCACTTTGGTGCTTAAAAACAATTCACAAATGCCCAATCCAGAACGGCATGCTTGCAACTCAGCAACCCACCTAGTTAACATAAAACTGGGATTTTGTATGCTACAGACAAGCAGCAGTGAAAGCACTCATAGAGAGCTGGACACTGAACATATGTCTGGAGATGTGAGCAGCTGAATTTACTAAAAAATGTAAGCAAAAACCTCCAACAGTGTAAGTAAAGGTACTTGCTTGGGACGACGTAGGATTCTGTGAAAATGATATCACTCTCATTAGTAGTGTTCCTCTAATTTTTTTCCTTCAAAAATACATAAATAAATTTAATTTATTTGTTGTTTATGCTCCTCAGAAGAGTTTTTGCTTAGTAAAGAATATGGTGCTGGCTTCTCTTGGTAATTAAGAAAAAACATACAGCTACCACAAAGAACTTTATATACAAAAATGTAGCATAAATGTAGATCAATAAAAGGATAAAACTTCTGCCTCTAAAATGAATAATCACAGAATTAGACTGCTTTCATGTGTCTAATAGATGATAGAGACAGGCTGTTCCAGAACATTCTCGAGTCACCATCCTCAACTGATTACCCCAGTCCTTCCAGGACCTATGAAGGAATAATCAGCTATAAACATAAAAATGACTATCTTTGTCTATACATATGCTGCTATGAAAACAGAAATATTATGTATAGAGATGTGTTATGTTTCAAGTGGCTTCAACAGGTTTGATTTTAAAATACTTTTTTAGTTTTTTTTACTTTTTTTTACTTTTTTAGGTTGATGCATTTATTTCAAGGCAATTAGGACCAATAAAATAAAAAATATTGAACAATATATTTTAAAAATCTATTATGATTGGAGAACATTAAAAATAAAGCAAATAATATTCAACACTAAAAATATAAAGCTGCATTAGCTCCAGTCCATGCAGTTATTTTATTTGAACGTTTACACATTTTACAAAGTCTCATATCAATGGTTTTCAACCATCAAAACATTAGGGGTAAATTCACTCCTTGAATGAAAGCTACTTCATCCTTGGCAGTATCTTTTCACACCTAGGAAAGTCTTTGACTATCAAAGACATCTTTCTATATTGGAGTTCTGCCATTGTTCTCTGGAAATGGTAAAAAGAGTAGCTAAAAAGATATAAATATTTTTTTAAATACTGACCCTAGAAATATGAATTGCAAGTCTACAGAATGTCTTGATTCATAGGTATAAATGTATTAATTTATAAATACCTGACAGATGTGCACTTCAAGACAATAAAGGTCAATATACTACCAAATATATTTTTAGAAGTCTTTTCAAACCTCCATTTCAAGGGCATGCTAACATTTACAGTTAATGATAAACTATTTTTTTTTTTTTACTGAGTCAATTACAGAAGAAAACCAAAACTCAAAGTCTGCAGTTAAACTAATGAAATTTACTAAATGACTGGGGTCTACCATACAGTTTTCATATATCAGTTTGGTGGGTGTCACCAATTTTCACATCTTAGAATATGGAATAAATATCCTAAAATCAATGGGATTACACCAGCTCTGGCCCGGCACAGTCACTGCAGCAATCCAGACATTAACTGTCATTTTCTTAAATGTTTATGTAGTTACCCCAAGAAAAAAACCCAAATAACCTAGGTAATTTTGTTCCTACATAGAGAGGTGACACAACTAAATCAGTTGCAAGTTGGCTGGGGCTAAAATAGGAAGATCTGATTCTTCCTCACCTCCTCCTCCTCCCAGGTGTGAGGGCCCTGCTGCTGCTGGGCTTCAGCGCTTCTCTGAGCGCACCAGGAGCTGGCTCCGCGCAGAGAACTCACCCAGCAAAAAGGCAAAGGGATTTCAGTCATTCCAGTTTCCCTGCAGCCAGATAAGCGCAGGAGCCAGCAGAGGGGAGGGTGTGTCCCAGCCTAAGTAAAGTGTGGTTTGGGAGAGGAAAGGGGAGGTGGCAAGGAGGGACAAGGCAGACGGTGCCACTCCTGGTGGCAGTGGCAAGGCACTGGGCTGGCTCAGCCCTTACGTTCAACCAAACCCCTGCATCAGTTGAGAAAATAGTGCACATGAAGAGAATATTTCTACTCAACTTTTAAACAATGTCAACTACATAAGAAAAAACTTTGAATGGAAATTTTTGTGCTCTGAAAAATTGAAAAGAAATGAAGATTTGGTGGGCTATTAGCTATATAACGCATTGTGTCTTTGGACTTTCAAATCAACCATAAAGCAGTATCAATTGCTTCAAATTGATTCAAATTGGGAAATTCTACTCTGTAAGTACTGGAAGCTGAAGGGAGGAGGACAAAAAAAAAAGAAAAAGAAAGAACGAAAAATCAGCACAATACATCAGTAGCATCCATCTTCAAATAACTGGAACAATATTTCCTAACACACATTCTAGTTTAATCAAGTAATTTTTGATAATGGGCATGTCCCCTCTGCAATAGTTCAGGAGACCACAGGTACAACAAAAACCTAGTTCACTAGAGAATATTTAAGCCCTAATGTGAAAACATCTCAGTATCTATCCGCAATACCAAATAATAGTAAATAATAAGCCTGCTACCTAAACCTTCACATACATTTGGTGAATAATATCCTATAGAAACAGCACCTGGTTAATTTATGTGTTTACTTTTACAGCATGTGTCTTTGAAGTCGTCTCAAACTCTCAGAAAAAAAGAATCACTCCCACTAACACCACTGACTCTGTATGCTGCAGAAGTACACAGCAAATTCTGTTTGGTTTCAGAGTTCACCAAGAGAAGTGCAACAGAAGCCCTGAGTCCAAAGTCACCCTTTTGGTAGGGGTGTATGAAGCAATAGCAGTGGCCAACTTTCAGACAATAGACTGGGGTTGCACTGTTAGCCTTATAATAAAGTCTTGTTTTGACTTGTGAATTGAGCAAGTTTGGTGTGGCAACTCACAAGCCCATAATACCCTGAAAATGTCAGAAAACAACTCTTGCAGTCAGCTCTCTGATAATAACTGCAGTTACTGTACAAGTCTCAGAAACTCTTAGGGGATTGAACGAGACATGCATTAATACATTTTTGGGTTATTTTCACTTTCTTTCCACTCCAGTCTAGAAAATGCTAGCATTAAAATTGTCCCATTTTGAAGCTCTGAGTGTGTCTCTAAATATTGCTTTAATTATTTACTTCTTGCCCTAGCAAACCACAGTTATTCTTTGAACTCAAACCCAAGCAGCCCCAAACACATTTTCTTCAAACTGACTCACAGATGAGAGTAATTTTGCAATTACAAAAGTTCCAAGAGTTTTCAAGCAGCTTCCATTCCTTAGTACTGTTTCAATCAAGAGTGGTATGAATTCCTGAAGTCCGTGTTTATACAAGAAGTTACTCACTGGGAAAAACTCCTCCTAGAGCTGACACTGTATGTGTAGAATTGCGCTGCTTATATATAGTAGCCAAAGATTTTGTGGTGTAACACAACATAGACACCAGACATATTTTATACCTTACATATGACCACAATTCTGTAGTGAATTTTGCTTGCAAAAGGAACTAGTTTATAGCAGAGATTATGTTTATCATTACAGTGAGTTGTATCATGAGAACTACAAGGTATTGTAGCAGAAGATATCGCTCATTACAGTACAGAATTCAGGATATACAAACTGACTCAAAGTCTTACATGCCATGACAGAGATGAGTCTCAAATTTGCAAATTTGTTTGTACAAGTACATGTTGCCAAGATCAAACTGTTGCTGTTGAGAAAGTTTTCCACTGCTGTCAATCCCTGATTTTTATTTTATTCCAAGGCTCTTCTTTTATATTAAAGATTAAAGAGTGGAATAAATGCAGCACATTGGATTACAGAACTTCAATACTAAAAACTTTAACAACAATAAATAGGTTACATACTTAAAAATATAATAAACCTTCATTACCATATAGCTATTTGCCACTTAGCTATTCAATTAACCATGCTTCAAGTCAATCAACACTACATGAAATTGCTTTTCAGAGGTAAAAAAACCCTAATTCGGAAACCTAATCACTTCCTTATCAAAACTCAAGGATTTTAAACCAAATTCTGAAATGTAGCTCCAGCATTGTGGGTAAAGATACACTTGGCAAAGATGATGATAATTTAGGAATTAATTTGCGGGCATCATCAGGTAGGTAACAACATTTGATACTTTTTACGTTAAGCCTAATAGATTACGCTTACAATATATTAAGCTTTCTTCATAAATCTGATCCTTCTGATAGGATTCATACACATAGCATCATGAAAAAAGCACCTGGGATACCTAACACCATAAATATAAGTGATCTCCAATATAATTTTACACTGATAGAAGGGGATACAATTCATATGATGATGCAGAAATAAACAGAAATGTCACAGCTCTGATAATATTAATAGATTATGTAGCAGGCAAAGAAGATACATTGGAAATATGTTGACACATATGATATTGTAGTTGTGAGTAGCCTGCTTTTGAGTGAAAGCAATTTGAAATTTATCATCAGAAATAAATCACTAAATCAGAATGGGGGACTTGCACAGTAGTAGTACTTAATACCCAGCTGACTTACAGCAAGAGTTGATTTGTGGGATGTACTCACCAGTGACTCAACACATAGAATATGACTATTTATTCCTATTATTTTTGCTGTTGCCAAAATTAGTTTTAATCTCCTTTGTCTGAAAGACACTTTCTTCGCTTGCAAAAATAAATTTAATTGTGGGATTCTCAAAAGACATGTAACTATGACTAACAGCATGACGCTTCTCTGTGTGTATA